CAGGCAAAGATCAGGGTCTTTAAAAAAGTGGCCAAAAATAATCCCCATAAGAATAACATGGGAAAAACGTGCCTAAAGTGGCGTCATACCAGCTTATTGCCACTAGTAATGTTCCAGAACTTTCTTGAGTCACCGTTAGCTTCATCAATTTTAGTCTTATATAACCTGTATTTAGCTTTCTTTATCAATGATATTAATATGTTCCGGTATCTAGTAAACCTTGTCCGCAATGCGTGTTGAAAGGATGATGTCGGAGCTGCTTACTTAACTTATCTCGATAGCGTATTGACTTTAGGAGCCCATTAGTTATCCATGGTTTTAATTTAGAGGCTTTGGCTGATTTATTTTCAATAATTGTATATTTATCTAAAATTTGCCCTATAATCTTATTTAACATTTCTGAAGCTTCGTCCACGTCTACCGAATTTAATTCCTATTGTTCCAATTGGATGAATTTAGTTCCACGCCAATGCTTTGCCAATTGATTGTCTTTGAAGTACAATTTTTTATTTCTATATTTTTCGACCTGGTGCATTGCAATTCCAGATAGGTTGTAAAATGATCTGTTATTTCTGTCTCCAACACAGCCGAGGAAGCTGTGAAAGATGGTGGCAAAGTTATGAAAAAATGGTCAATGCATGTCTTACTAGCAGGACGTGTTATTTTATCAATGCAAGCAATGAATCCTAAGTCGGACAGGATATCGAGGTACCGCTCTTCTTCTGAGTTAAAACTAGTTTGAATAATATCGCAATTCAAATCCCCTACGTAGACATTTATCTGAGAACTTATTGTGTTAAGTTCCAATAATTATTTTAAGTTGTCGTTAAAAAATCAGTAAAGATGTATTCGGACTACGGTATACACAAAGAAAGCAGGTTACATGTAGCTCCGGCCCAGTCGAAGGTCAAGGACAAGCTCGTAGCCACGCCACCGATTAGCAGCTGATTGCAGGACACTGATAACGAGTCATCGTTGTAGACAACGATACCGTCACTTTGATTCAGATTGTTATAGGTTCTGAAACTATTATAACCATGCATAAGATCTTGGATTCCCTGATGATTCAACCATGCTTCCGTTAGAATAATACAATTAAATCTACATTTAATACCTTGTAATAAAACTAGAAATTCGTCAATGTTTTTACCATAACTTCTTATGTTTTGGTGTAATATTTTAAAATCATATATAGCATTACAGTTGTTTTGGTTTAAATTATAAGAGTTGAAACAATCAACGTTAGTAATTACATTGCAATGTATGAAGGGGTGGTTGCTTCTTCCATCAAAGCTAATTTATTTACTAAATTTAATGGGCTATTGCCAGCCGACTAGCTTAAATTGTGTATTTAGTGTTAAAACATCAGCGTTAAGAGGAATTTAAACAATCTGTGTTTAGAGCGACATATAAGAGTGTGTGCCATGAGACATTAATCATCAATTATAACATAGTAAAAAATGAGAATCGAAAAAGTATTCTATGCGCTAGATTATTAGCTAAAATTTAAAAATTCATTGTTGTTTATTGTCTAACTTAGCTTAGGCGCTAAACAAACTTTGGTAAACGCAATCGCATGATTAAGTGTAAAAGTTAATAGGAAAACGGTTCAAATAAGACATTACGGCAATCACAGCCTGTTTATTTAATATGTATTATGTAAATATGTATATGTTTATGAAATGTTTCATACAACAGTTGATCTTTAGATTTTTAAATAAAATAATCGAAATAGATTAATTAACACTTTTAATTAATTTACATTTCCTAACAGGAACTCATATATAGCCTATTCTATGTCATTTTTATTTTTCGTTAAACCGTATATCATTCAATTAGTCACTTAAACGAGATTATTGAAGTCATAATAGCTGTAAATGATTGAATTAGGAAGTTTTCCAGTTACTCTCAGTTACCAATGACAAAGGGACAGGATGAATGGTCCAAGATGAACTGACACAATTAAAAGTAGTTGATCAATTTGTAATTAATCCTACTACATCGTTGAGCAAATGCAATGTGTTTTATTAGCCAACTAGTTATAATTTTACCATAGAAAATTATGTTTTTCTACTGCAATTTTTACGGTAAGAGATAGAAACGGTAAGAGATAGAAAGAAAACTTAAATACGTAAAATGTTTGTTTAAAAAGGATATTTCACATTATATTTAACTACCTGACCCGACAGACGTCGTCCTGTCCTAATGTGGTTTTATGTCAAATGCTCGTTCATTTTCAAGATGAGCTCGTTCGCTGCGCTCACTTGCCTTCAGTTACATTTTTTTATCAGAATTTATTTTACAATCTGTTCAAACAAATATGAGAACAATAAGTAAAACATTTATCAAAACAATGTCAGGAAGCAAGCACCTGTTCATCAACAAGTCTTGCCAAAAATTGGATCAATCATAAATATTTACAGAAATCTGTAGCTTAGGTCCAGCACATGCACAACACTTTTTAATCTGGTAATGCACTGACTATTGTCCAGCAGATTAACAGCAAGACTGTTCGGATGATATTCTAATTTTTCTTGATACTTTTTGCTAAGGTCTGTAATTTCTTCTTTCACTGATTTAATTTTGAAGTCATTCCTAATTGTAGTGTTGGATACGAACCAGGGTGCGCCAATAATTCTTCTCAGCGTCTTAGCCTGAAATCGTTTAAGAATTTCGATTTTGGATTTGCTCAAGGTCCCCGAAAGTTGAATTCCGTATGTCCAAATTGGTTTGATCATAATTTTATACAGTAAAATTTTGTTAGCCAATGATAATTTTGAATTCGTACCTAGTAGCCAATTGAGTTTACGAATTTTTAATTCCATTTCCTGTCTCTTGCACTAGATATGAGATATCCAATTTAATTTTTTGTCAAGAGTTAGACCTAAATATTTTACACTGTCTGCCTCCGTTAAGGCTACATTATTAATGGTTACTGGAGGATTGTACTCTGTTCTCAGAGAAAAAACAATCTGTTTGGACTTGTTTTCGTTGACTTTTATCCTCCACTTTTTAAGCCAATATTGGAGCTCAGTCAAGGCAGTTACATTTGACAACACATATTCGTAAAAAACAAATGGAATAGAAACCTATTTGATAGCTCTCATTTGTTATGCATAGATTTGTTTTTAAAAATTAGGTTATCATTACAACAGCTGTTTCCTTAATTTAATCAAGAAATGACAAACATGGCATAGTAAACAAAATAAAACATTCTTCCATAAGATTAACATGTAAACTGCAAAGGGCCTTAGGACGCTACCCTTAAGGGTTTTTGAAACGGAAACAGGCTATTATGTTATTCTAGTACCTAAGGAATATCCCTGTAAATTTTCATGCCAATTGGTTCAGTAGTTTTCTAGTTATAAACGCTGTAACTAACACAACTTTCTTTTATATATTAAGATATATATTTTCTTGCATGGTTAGGGCTACTAATAAATAAAAATTAAAACCAAAATTAACAAAGAACCTTTTTTAAAATAGTCAGTCAAAATAAAATAATTATTTAAAAAGGGGACTTTGTTAACTATGCTTTTTTAATTTGTAATATATCCTACTAATATTATAAATGAGAAAGTTTGGATGTATGGATGGATGTATGGATGTATGTTTGTGACAAGTGAACGCGGAAAATACTGGTCGGATTGGGCTGAAATTTGGCATGATGATAGCTCACATTCCCGATTAAATACATATCTAAATAGGCCTATATAAAAGGCAAAGCCCTCACTGACTCACTCACTCACTCACTCATCACTAATTCTCCCACTTCCCATTTACCTAGGAGGCTGAAATTCGGTACACCGATTCTTTGGGCATTAAATAGGAAAACTAAGTAGTTTTTATTCTGATCGGGCTTTCGGGCTCCGCCCCAGTGGCTCTAGAGTTTCCCATGTTAACCTTATGATTTTTCATATTTAAAAGGAATTAATGAATCTTAACAGCTGTTTTAATTAAACAAGTTGGATCTGTTCTATGATGTTCAATAGCATTAAAGTTACAAGGATTACCAACAGGGTGCAGCACTATTATTTTTTTTTTTATTTATGACAACAGCTAATTTGCAACCAAAAGGTGAGTGAGCGTAGCGAACGAACTTCAACCTGGAGGCGAGTTAGCGTAGCGAACGAGCTTACCTGAAGGCAAGTGAGCGCAGCGAACAAGCTCCAACCTAAAGGTAAGTGAGCGTAGCGAATAGTTATGAAGTTAAACAGGGGCAAAGCCCGCGGGTACAGCTTGTTATATAATATGTATATATATATTATATATATATACATATAATATACATATACATATAATATATATATATACATATTTATAGGTATATAGGTAGGTTACAGGTTAAGTGATGATTTACTGTGATTGCAGCAACATCCATGATGATTTCTGGTGATTGCGGAAAAATCCATGATGATTTCCCGTGATCGTGGCAACACCTATATTGGACAATGGTAATCACCTGCAGCGATCCTGTCAAGACCTCTGGCTATTTCCCACGATTGCAGCAAAAACTGTTCTAATATAATTTGCTGCAATAACGGCAAAATCGATAATTTCTCTTGATCAAGGCAATAACAATTTTCAACTACGAAAAAAAATTGGATATTTCGTACGGATTTTTTTACAACTATTCAAACATTTAAATCTCCTGGTTCTTTATAAAATTCACACACAATTCACAAATTTTTTCCCCGGTCATCAAAATTCACGTACGATTCCCGGTTTCCAGGTCGGCTAGACACCCTCGCCAACATAAATACCCATCCAACAGCCGAAGGTGAATTAAATGGCCAACACTCGCCAATAGAAGCGCAGTCATCTCATAATCTATGTAGCCACAGCTCACAAAAATTGGCGACAGCTTAAACTCCAAGGGTCTGTTCTATTGTTATTATGTGATCGCTGAGTTTAGGCCTATCGTATGCTTGTGCTTCGTTCGGTTAGTCATATGCCTAACCGATATAAATTAAGTACTGTGTACTGTGCCTAATACTTACTCTTATTTCATCTGCAGAGGCTTCAGGAATGATAGTTTTCAACTCAACATCACCGTTATCCAAAGAGTCGCTTTCATAATTCGGATCATTCATATCGACGTCTTCTTCGACTAGTTCAGACCCTGGTTTACCCCAAACGCCTTTTCCTCCTGCACCCCCTGCACACAAAAATTTTTCAAGTAAAAATATTATTTTGCTTTTAGATTACTTACATCAAAGATACTTGAACCTTTTAAAACATAAAATATGCAATTCAATATGATTAAGATATAATAAAAAATGGGTCTTATTTGATGAACATCTAGATTCACACTCTTTTTATTTTGTGATTGTAATTTTTATGATGAAAACTTTTCACCATACACGATATTCCTGTCTAAAGATTTGTAGCACACTACTATATTTTGTTAAATAGCAAGTTAGTTAGTTTGTAGCTTGGATTTTCACTAGGTTTATCAAAAGTTTGCAATACAGTTTTACACCTAATTTTGGGTGAGATTCATAATGTCCAAATTTCGGAAAAACTCCAACGGTTAAAATATTAAATATACAGTGTGTTTCATAACGTCCAAATTTCATAAACACCAAAACTATAACTTTCAAATAAGCACCGTTTCACAATGTCCAAATTTCACAAAGTCCAACGTTAATATATTAAATAACCAGAGCGTTTCATAATGCCCAAATTTCATAAGCTCCAAAACTATAACTTTCAAATAATCACCGATTAACAATGTCCAAATTTCACAAACTCCAACGTTTAAATATCAAATAAACAGAGAGGTTCATAATCTACAAATTTCATAAGTTCGAACGGTACAGTCTCGGCCAGAAGTCGCTGCAGAGGTTGCCGTGGTTCGGTATGTACACGTTCTATTGTTGTAGCCGCGCGTCACAAAACATCATTGTTGGTCCACAGTTGCGTTGTTAAGAGTGTAAAGTATTGGTATTAATACCCCTTCCGCAGCAAACCTGCAGACTAATCGAATTTTCATTTTCCTTATTTGATTTAAACACTATCAATGAAGTTACGTATCAATGAAGTTATTAGCTTATATATTGCTTCCCATCTAATATTACAGTAGAATCCCGCAAACTCGGCTCTCGATAACCCGGCAGTCTGGATAACTCGGCCATCATCTGGCTCAGAAAATTAGTGATTTTTTGAGTCTGAGTTAAACATGGACTCAAGCCAGCTCAAGTCAAATCATTCGCAACTCATACCAAGGGTTTGTTGTAGGCCTACTATATCTGATGACTTAATACTGACGTGTAATATAAATATAAATAAAAAAGGCGGTTAAAAAGCTTAAAAATGTTATTGTTCTTATTTTTAACCCTAGTTCCTGATAACCCGGCATTTCACAAACTCGGCACCCTTCCAGTCCACATTACGCTGAGTTTGCGGGACTCTACTGTATAAATGTTAAAGTTTGTGTGTTTTTTTTCTGTTTGAAGTCCAATCACGCATTAACTACAGGTCGGATACCTAGGCCTTAAATTTGGCATGATGATAGTACATATGCCCGATTAACATATAGGCATATTCTTATCACAAAAATCCTTTCAGACTCATATTTTTCATATTTTTAAAGTAATTAAATAATTTTGTCAGCTGATACAGATAAACAAGTTGGATAAATTATATTTTCATCACTCTGTAACGAAAGTAACTATTTTCGATAACAGCTGACATCAATGAAAGTATTCGTTTCCCAAGCTCTAATTTAGGGCAAGGGAAAATAGATCAGCTGATTTTCCCTCGCTCTCAATTAATTCTCTATTTATTCACTACGCGCGCTTGTGTTTTGTTATGGTTTAATTTAACGATTTGAATCAGCTGTGTGTATGGTTGAAAGTTGTTTTATTCTTTTATTTTGATGTTTAAACAAAATGTATTGAAAAATATACGTAGGCTACCTTTAGAATATTTTCTCCTATTTTTTGTTTTAAAAATTAATCAAAAATAAACCTAGGTTTCCTTTTAAAATATTTTAATTTATTTTGATGTTCAATCTAATTAATTGAGAAATAAAACAGTTGCGATATTACTGAGGTCTGCTAATCTGTGTTTGTGTATTTTTGCGTCATGATGAAAAGAATCGTTCATAACTCGTAACGAAAGTTATTATCCGGCACTTGCTCCATGATTCCCGTCCTCGGCTTCGCCTCGTACGTTAAAATAACTCTCACATACTCGGCTTCGCCTCGCACGTGAAATTGGAGTTCCCTGTGTTCGACTTCGCCTCACACAAAAACTTGAGCGCGCGCCGGAAAATGCCACTTTCGGTCCTAGTAATGAAATATACTATTTACCAAGTTTATTTAGTGTGATGCTGATTTAACTAGTAGCTTGTAGGGACATAAGTCCATAAAAGCTCAAATGTTAAACAAATTATTGTAATATATAAACAAACTCTTAATCAAATTATGTATGTGTCAAGATAGATATTCCTGCACACCACCTTTTGTGTATCTTTTGTTTAAAAAACAGTTTCGTTAATTGGTTTTATTGATGTTAATTTCAATAAATAATTTTGAATATTTCAGAGGGTTAACTTTGCTAAAGGCTGCAAACATAATATAATTGTTTGTAAATAAATACTTTTGGCTTAACACTTGTCTAAATGGTAATAGTCGATGGGCAAAAAATCAGCCTTTCACTAATTACTTCCGACACAATCCCTTTATTGGCTGGGCATGATGATAGCTCACATTCCCGATTAACATATAGGCATATTCTTATATCAAAAATCCTTTCGGGCTCTGCCCCAGTGGCTCTGGAGTTCCCCATGTTAACCTTATGAGTATTCATATTTAGAGGGAATTAAAGAATTTAGTCAGCTGTTTTAACTAAAAAAGTTGGTTCTATGATATACAAAAGCATTAAAAAGTTATAAGAATTACCAACAGGGTGCAGCAGTATATTTTTTTTGCATTTATGTAAACAGCTAATTTGAACTAAGCAGCAACAAAAAACTGTGATACGCAATGAGAACTGTCAAAGTAGGATTGTTTACAGTTATGTTTATGTTTTTTCTATGTCATGAATAGTTTGTGATTTTTTTTGCAAATTTTTAATAATTTATTATTTGTCTTTTTATGGCTTTGGTCACAGAAAACATACTACTATAACCCAGAATGCCAACCGCATGGTAAAAAGCATTAAGTGTTTTGAGAGAGCTTTGCCTGTCAATCGTAGGCAGCGCCACCAGCGTTGCTATGCTGAGTGCATGGCTGGTCTTGTCTTTTTATGGCTTTGGAAGATGTGTAATACCATAGTATACCGTCAATTTAAAGAAGCAAATTTTATCAAACTTTGTCCTCCACCATTTCAAACGCAAAGCTTGAGTATAACTGCAATAAGCATTTTAAACTTATATGCAACCCCTAGTATTTATATATGTGTCCGTTAGCGCGATAACTCGAGCAAAAATCATCCGATTTTGATCAAATTTGGTGCAAACATTAAAACCTACGTTTATTCAAACGAGTTCTTGAACCAGCATGATCGGACTATGGGAACAGGGGTTTATGGGGGGTTTTATGGGGCAAAAATTGGTTTTCCCATTTAGCATTTTCTTTCCAAACCATATTGTAGAGACCATATTGTAAAAAAAAAAAACAAATACTTTAGTATATTTAAGCGTTATTATGCGGCTAATGGTTACGGAAAAATTCCAAGAAACTGTAAATTTAAAATTCCCATGTAATTCTTATGGAGAATAAGTAAACTGTTGTAATTAAAGTGGTTTAAATACCTGTAATGTCGACAATCCCAAGTGGTTGTGAACCACTTTAATTGTATCTCGATAATCCGGAGGCTACCCAATCGAAAAAATGAAACTGTTGTAGTTTGCTTGTTTATGATAATTCATATTTTGATCAAATTTGGAAAATGCATTCATTTCATACCTACTAAACTATTAACATTTTACAAAAAAAAAACCTTTTTACCCTCCCTGTTGCAGCAAACCTAAGTACTCGTTAAACTAATGTTATTTAAATAGGGAATAAATGTGATATTTTTAAGGAGACATTTTATTGTAAATTCAATCAGGCAAATGGAAATTCACTTAGTCTGCAGGTTTGCTGCGGCGGGGGTATTTTGTTAATATCTCAGTTTTGTTCACAGCGAGCGAGAGACCGTGGTCTGCCTGTCCGTGCGTTTCTGGTATGCACAACTCGGTTCAGCTTTAGCTGAGCCAGCTCAACGGTACGTGCAGCTATCAAAGCTGCAACGTCGTCTGCGTACCCTACCAAAACAGTTTTGTCAGGCATTTTAGACCTCAGAAGGCGGTCATAAGTGATATTCCAGAGGTCTGGGCTGAGTATGGAACCTTGGGCAGCACTGGAGGTGACACTCATCTTCCGTGGGCCTTCCATATTGTCATACATGAGAAGGCGGAACCGGAGATAATCCTCTATGATACGCATGAGGTATGCCGAAACGTGAAAGGTGTTCTCCAGAGCATGCAGCATATCGCACCACCTTGAGGAATTAAATGCGTTTTGCACATCAAGTGTTACAAGCAGCACAAACCTACAAGAGTAGTGGTTAAAATCCTCAGCTCTCATCACGGCTTGCTTCACCTAGTCAATAGCGTCAACCATAGATCGCCCCATCCTAAATCCATACTGACGAGCGGACAGGTCCCCCGCAGCGACTATGGCTGAATTCAGCCGGGAACGGATCAACTTCTCAAGGACTTTGCCAGGCGTATCAAACATACACAGAGGTGTGAGAGGATGGCAGGTCTGGGTCTCCCTTACCCTTCCCAACAAGCCTAAGCCTAGCTGTTTTCCAGCACGAGGGGAAAACTCCTTTGACTATGCAGGCGTTGTACATGCTCAAAAGGATCAAGGGGTTAGTAGTCAAATTGGATGGACGGCCGCCTCCATCTCTTCAAGACTGAAAAATGGTCATCATCCACTCTTCCAAAATCCCACAGTGGGCGCAACGTTTGAGCCGGGAAAAGGGACTCGACTATCCTCTGCATAGTGGTCCGTCCATGACGGAAGGTGGAGAGCGGGTGCCAAGATTCTTTGTTACAAGTTTGTAGCCCAGGCCCCACGGGTTGGAATCTACATCGTCCCTTAATGTCTCGGAACTTAAAGTTACGGATGGCCTCGATGGGAGTGAGGTAGACACTGAAGT